TACGGCACAGCTCCGGGAAGCGGGGAGGAGCCCCATTCCAGACCTAAGGTCAGGTGCCAGAAACCGAGACAGCTTTGCTGTTTTTCTACTTTTTTTTTCCCTCCTCAAGTAAACTTGCAAATGTCAATAATCAGAAAAACATGCCCACGGAGATAAATTTCTCAACTCTGTTGCAGCTCGCGGCCGCTCTTGCCAGCAAAAACAGGCTCGCTTCCCCGCCCCACTTATGCAAGCGGTGAACCGGCTCCCCAGCGCACGGCCGCGGAGGACCCAGGCTTAGTGCACGCCTGCGAATCTCACCCCTGCTTTCTGAGCAGGGACTCGGGTCTGGCTGACCAGCCGGCTGGCACCACAGGACGGACTCCAGCCTCTCTGGCTGCAGAGGCCCAGGGTCTCAGAAGGGGTCATGGAGAAACCAGGTCCCTTCTCGGCAATAAAGGCCTTGAACTGGAAGGGAGCGGCTGCTGCGAAGTCTCCAGAGGAACGTGGGTACCTGTGTCCAGAAGCGGAATTCAGTCCCGGGGAGCCCAGAAGACGTCCCCAGCGCTCTCCGTCTACCAGCTGGAACACACGTCCTGGTCTCCACGTGACAATCGTAACGCTCACCACCGATCGTGAGCTCAGCGGCTCACCCACGAGCCTGCTGCTCCTCGCGATCACCTCGCTGGGAAGGCAAAGCCCGTCCCATATCACGGCTGAGGTGACACAAGTTCAGGGAAGTTCAGGAACTTGCCCAATTCGCACAGCTATCGAGGGCAGTATTCTGCATCGGCTCCAGGTGTGTCTGGCCACGCGTCTCTCTCCTCCGGGCAGGGGCCTCTCTGGGCTCCCCCCGGCTCCCCCTTCTCCGGGCTGCCTGCCAACCGTCTCTCCCCACTCTTCCCGTGCCTTTCCACCCATCACGGAGGCTGGTGGAGGGGAGCCCTGGGTGTGAGGGACCTGAGGGCAGCAGGCCCCCTCGGCAGAGCCCCCCACCGGAGTAGTGGGTCCAGGGCTCTTACAGGAGTCAGGGGCCAAGCACCCTGACCGTCCCCCGGGGCAGCAGCTTGTGAGACCCTCCACGCACGCACACGCGCGCGCGCGCGCGCACACACACACACTCCTGCTCTCACAGGGCACCCACTCACCGGCCTAAACTCCCCGGGAC